TTAAGTGAATACACGAGCCTGGGGGTGTTCACACTACAGTGCATCTTGTGACATCATAATGCAGACCCCTTGCCTAGGAAGTATTCTTGGTCCTTTTGAAGAATTGTCATTGGTGAATTTAGCTAGGATCCACTACAGCCTCTTAGTTGGACTTAATTGAAATCCCCAACTGTTTTTTTTTTTTAAGATTTTATTTACTTATTCATGAGAGACACACAGAGAGAGGCAGAGACACAGGCAGAGGGAGAAGGAGGCTCCCTGTGGGGAGCTCAGTGCGGCACTCGATCCCGGACCCCAGGATCACGACCTGAACCAAAAGCAGATGCTCAAACACTGAACCATCCAGGCACCCCCCCCCAACAGTTTGTATACACTGATGATTAAGTCTTTTAAAAAATATCGTGTGAACATGACAATACACAGGTACATACGACTGATACCAAGTTGCTAAGTGTTTGTCTGGTCCATAGTGTAAGTCCAGGTGTGCTTGGGATGGACGTGGGCAGGCAGTGAGAAGTACAGTTCAAAGTCTACTTTTGCCTTACTCTTTGACTTTGGACGGTACCTGAGCAGCCTTAAGCCCCACCTAAAAATGACCCTGCTTTATTGGCCTCATGAGGTTATTGTGAAGTCCAATGAGCACTGGCCGAAGATAAGCTGGCCAGACTTCAAGTGCCATGGACATATAAGGGATCGTGACAATGACCAGAGAAGACAGCCTCCTCCTGGCTGGAGCCCTCACCATTCCCTTCTCCTGCAAGGGGTGGGAGGTACACTGAGGCTATCTTAGTTCTTATCCTTTCCCAAAGTGGGCCTGGGATGATGTGGACATGCAAACCTTCGGTCCAGATCATCTGCCTGAAGTCATTCATCCCCATAAACAGAGGCAGGAAGATCACTGGGCCAGATGTTATAGAAATCCTTACATAGGAGAGATGTTGGACTTGATCTCTGAGGTCTTATCCAGGGATTTTTTTGAGATTCTCTGACTCCATGTCCTTTCCCTTGGCAGAAGTCAGTTTTAAACAATGGCACAGATTCTAGTGGAAATGGGCAATTTCTAGAAAATTCATTTCTGGAAACTCCCGGGAAGCCAAGCCTTCAGGCAGAGTACTTTTCCTTCCCAAAAAATAAAAGTGCGAAAGAAAAGTAGTACTGTTAATTCAGGCAAGAAGGCAAATAGCCTAAACCCCCATGGAAGTCACATGCCCTTCCCTCCCAGCTGGACTTCCAGACCCAGGAGGCTGTATCCACCCAAGGAAGGCACAGTGTGGTACTTGCCTGGGGCCCAGCAACATCTGCTTTGCCCATGGCCGGTATGCAAACATTTTTTGCCTTTCCAGAAATTTTCCCAGGCCCAGTGACCTGGGATCAGCTATTTGTCATTTGGTCCTTGCTTTGTGAGTTCAGGTGTATAATGAGCCTTTCATTCCTCCATCCACTCAATATCGAAACCTCTTTCTGTGCCAAGCACTGTGCTAAGTGCTCAGGGAGAGAAATTAATGAGACATCCTTGTTCTCGAGTACTTCTTCTTGTGTGCAGAAACCATCAGTAAACATAATTATAATGTGTTAAGATAGGGGTTCATGGGATATCATAAGCCTGTCCTGAATATTAAGAAAATCGTATAAGATGGGCACTCAGCTGGGCTTAGGGGCTTTGGAGGAGGTTCTCTTGAGGTGAACAAGAGTTAGCGGTGGTGTGCTAGGTAAAGGGGAACTGCGGAGAATAAGGAAGGGGAAGGACATTTCAAAGGGAACAGAGTGAGCAAAGGCCTCGAGGTGACTGGGGTGTGGCCAGAACCTGTAACTCCACATCCTGGGTAGAAGAGCATAAAACCAGGATTAATGGGCAAGGCGGTGGCACAGGGACCAGTCAGGGAGGGCCAGAGTCCAGAGAGAATGAAGGAAAGAGGGGTGATGCACATTAGCTCTGAATATTCGAGTACCTGGTAGGGGCCAGCCTTGTGCTTAGGGTCAACTCGGGGTCCTACTCCATCCTGAAAATCCCCTAAAATTCTCTATCCCCTGGTACAAAGAATTTCTCTGCAGCAGCATCCAGTACACAGCTGATGCTCAATTAATGGTGATCGTGGCCCCTCTCTGCCAGGGAGTTGTTACTGCCTACACGATGCTCCTCAAACTATGCAGCCTTCCATGCACAGGACAGTCATCTTTGTATCGTGAAAAAGAGGCCATCCCTGCAGCTGACGCCGGCACCTCATTGTTTAAAGCCTCCTGCTCCCTGAGGCCCGCCTCTTGATGGACAGGAAGGCTGATTCTCTTGGCTCTTTGCTTCGTAAAGAAAATGATTTTCAGCCTCACTCCCCTCTCCATAGCAATTATGGAAAATAAATTGAAGTGTAAAAACAGGAGACGGCTAGCAGATGGGGCAAAATTAAGTGATGCCTGGCTACTAGCACCCAGCTCTGTAGGACACAGACGCAGACTCTGCTCCCTGGAGTGTGAAATGAAGACCTGGTGAAGGAGAAGGCAGCTGCTGCCTCCAGCCCTGGGGCATGGGCCCAGGCACCTCGGAGCCACCCATTGGCTCCACTGGCCTCCACTGGGTGTCTAGACCCACAGATGAGGAGAGGTTGGAACGGGTCTTGAGAGGTTCAAGGAGAGCTTATTGGTTTTCTGCTTGATTAGAAAAATCTATGCTCCTGGTGAGAAACACGGCAAACAGAACATGAAGAAAAAGCAATCCAGAGCTTTGCACCTTGACGTTATATTCCTGTTCATCCTCTGGTTAAACTTCCCCACAGTTATGGTCAACTCACTGGGCTGTGAGGTCCTGTCCCTGATGGTGTCCCGGCACCTAGAAATGGGCAGCACACAGGAAGCCACTGGGGGGGGGGGGCTGTGTCCACCGCCCCGGCTCCGGTTGCTTGGCCAGTGGTGGCTCCCTTCATCCTCTGGGTTCAGCTCCAAGGTCAGTCTTCCAGGGAAGACTCCCTAGACCCCCTTCCCCATCCCAGCTACCTACCCCAGTGGATTTTCTCTGTTGTGGAAGTCACTTCTGTATGATTTTGTTTCTTGGGTAGTTTCTGAGGGTAGGTTCACTCACCTGATGGCCCTGCCTCCAGACCACTGCTGGGGCTGCATAGGTATGAGGAAGTAGCCCATCCATCTGGGTTTCTAGTAGTTCAGTAGCATGAACAGGGATGAACACAATCTATATTTATTTTTATTATTTTTTCAAAGATTTATTTATTTATTCATGATAGAGACACACACACACACACAGAGAGAGAAGCAGAGACACAGGCAGAGGGAGAAGCAGGCTCCATGCCGGAAGCCTGATGTGGGACTCGATCCTGGGTCTCCAGGATTGGGCCCTGGGCCAAAGGCAGGCACTAAACTGCTGAGCCACCCAGGGATCCCCCACAATCTATATTTAAATGCTCAGGGAACCCTGCCCACCATTTTTTTTTCTCTAGGAACACCCCATATATAAGGCCTTCTGTGTGTGTGTGTGTGTGTGTGTGTGTGTGTGCGCGCGCGCGCGCGCATGTACCCCTGTCCCAGCACTTAGGAAAGGCTCAAAGCCCTGAGCTAGGGGCTTGGATCTCATGCCCCTAACTCACTCTTCAGCCTTGGGTAAAGTAAATTCCAAGATTCCAGGACCTCACTTTTTTTTTTTTTTCCCAGCGTTGGTGAAACCAGTTAACAAGTTTGCCTGCTGGGGATCCCTGGGTGGCTCAGCGGTTTAGAGCCTGCCTTTGGCCCAGGGCGCGATCCTGGAGTCCCGGGATCGAGCTCCGCGTCTGGCTCCCAGCATGGAGCCTGCTTCTCCCTCTGCCTGTGTCTCTGCCTCTCTCTCTCTCATGGTCTATCATAAATGAGTAAATAAATCTTAAAAAAAAAAGAAGTTTGCCTGCAGTAGGACTCATAAGCCCCAAACAAGACAAGACGCTGGAACTCTCAAGAGTTAATAGAAACAGTGAAGAAACCCCTCTGGGGAAGGCCCCTACTCCTTTTCAGTAAAGCCTCAGAGAGGGTCACCTGGGAGCTTCAGGGAACTGAACCGGGTGGAGGTAGGGGCGCGGGCTCCTTCCTTCCTTCCTTCCTTCCTTCCTTCCTTCCTTCCTTCCTTCCTTCCTTGTTTCCTTCCTCCCTCCCTCCCTTCTTTCCTTCCTCCCTCCCTCCCTTCCTTCCTTCCTTCCTTCCTTCCTTCCTTCCTTCCTCCCTCCCTCCCTTCCTTCCTTTCCTTCCTTCCTTCTTTCCTTCCTCCCTCCCTCCCTCCCTCCCTCCCTCCCTCCCTCCCTCCCTCCCTTCTTTCCTTCCTCCCTCCCTTCCTTCCTTCCTTCCTTCCTTCCTTCCTTCCTTCCTTCCTTCCTTCCTCCCTCCCTCCCTCCCTCCCTCCCTCCTTTCCTTCCTTCCTTCCTTCCTTCCTTCCTTCCTTCCTTCCTTCCTTCCTTCCCAGAATGGGGGGGGGGTCATCTCCGCACGGGATCCCCAGGGAAAAGGTTCCCAATATTCAAACTCGGGAACGAAGTCCTTCTCACGACGGCTGTCCCCAGCTGGAGGCGGACGAGGGGGACTCCCCCTAAGTCCATCTCTGCCACCGCTCGCCCCTACTCCCCGGGTGCCCGCGGGGGCGCCTGGCCTCGCTCCCGTCGGGATCGTGCTGAGGGAGGGGACCCGAGGCCAGACAGCAGGGGGGGTGGCCCCGGCCAGGGGTGCGCGTCGCCCCGCCCACCGCCCCCTGAGATCACAATCTGGGGGGGCCGGGACCCCGCGCATCATCACCGCCCGGTGGCGACCCAACAAACACCCAGGGGGGCGGGAATAAAAAAAAAAAAGAAACCTGCGGGAGCCCGGCCTCCGTCCCCCGCCCGCCCCGCCCCCGCCCCCGCCCCCGCCCCCGGATGGGGGAGTGAGCGCCAGCCGGGCGCCCCGCACCGCCGCCCGCCCCGCCCCGCGCGCCCCGCCCGCCCGCCCGCCCGCCGCTCCGGCTCCGCGGCGCCCGCGCCCGCGCCCTCGCCCGCCAGGCTCTCCGCCCGCCGCCCGCCCCGGCGCCCCGGGCCCCGCCGCGCTTCATGGCTGCGCACGAGTGGGACTGGTTCCAGCGCGAGGAGCTCATCGGCCAGATCAGCGACATCCGCGTCCAGAACCTGCAAGGTACGCGCCCCCGCGCCCCCGCGCCCCCGCCCCGGGGAGGGCCGCCCGGGGCCCCGACACCCCCACCCCCCACCCCGACCCGAGCTCCCGGCCCGGCCTGACCCGGCTGGGCTCGCCCTCGGGGCTGGGGGGGCTGGGGGGGCTGGGGGGGTGACACTGCCGCCCCAGAGGTCGCCCGGGGGGTGGGCCGGCGCACGTGCGAGTGCGGGGTGGGGGTCCCGTTTTCTTGGGGTGCGGGGGGGGACGTCGCGACTCCCCTGCAGCCGCTGCTGCGAGTTTGGCCAAGTTTGAACGTGTGGGCTCTTGGGGACCAGTGGCCCAGGTCGGGGACGGAGGAGAAAGTGCCACTGCGTGCGCGCGCGCGTGTGTGTGTGTGTGTGTGTGTGTGTGTGTGTGCGCGCGCGCGAGCTTGCACCCTCCCAAGGACCCCTGAGGCTGGGGGAGTGGACGCAGGGGGCGGCGCCTGCTGGGGTGGGCTGCGACCTGGGGCGACCCGGGGGCGCGGATCCGGGGGCGGGGGGTGCTGGGCTCCCAGCCCCGGGCCAACCGGGCTGCAAGGAGCGACCCCTCCCCGGGCCTGCGGCTCCACGGGGAGCTCGGGGGGGGGGGGGCGCGGCCACCTGGACCCAAAGGTGAAAGAAAGGGAGAAAGAGAAACAAGGGCTGGGGTGGCCCCCGCCGCACGCGGGGCGTGCTAACCTTTCAAGAGTTTGTTCTTTGTGGAAACTTGGAAAGCGCAGCAGCGTTTAAAGGGAGAGAGTCACCCAGGTCGCCCTCGGATCCACCCAGCCCGCCACCCCAAAGCCAGCCGCCTCTCCCGGAGGTGTATTTCCAGCCTCTGCCTTTCTCCTACGTGGGCTCTGTGGAACTTGACGGACTTCCACTTCCGGCCTGTCTGCAGGCGCTCGGACCTGGCTGGCCAGGCAGGAGAAGTTTCTTTCGCGGTTTCCTGGGCAGGCTTGGGTTTCTAGAGATTCCAAGGTTGGGGGCGCTGCACAGGATGCTGGGAGACCCGGGCAGAGAGAAGAAGGGGCTGTGGGTGCCCCCCTCCTGGGTGCCTGCCTTTACTGCCGGAGGGTGGGGATCCCCAGCCTGCAGGGTGGAGTGGGGCAGTGTGTGTGGGTGGGTGGGAGGGGGGTGGCCAGGCAATCAGCTTTAAACATTATACCTGATAGAATGTTTCCTGGGAGTCCTATGGACCTGCTCCCACCCCTGAGCTCTGCAAGAACAGTTGCAAACAGAGGTGACCTGAAGTGGGGTGGGGGGTGCCCAGTGCAGCGGACGCTGGAAACTGCGTTTGCTCTGGGCTCCCCTGATCTCCTTTGGCTGTGATTTGTGTCAAAGGAGGAGGATCAGGCTGGAGATGTTGCAGATGATCCCTTTTGATAGTAAGCCTCCTGTCCGGATCCTGCTGCCCCAGAATTGACATCCTATTTGGGGGTGGGAATTAGTATCCCTTGCTGAGATGGCATGCGGTTTGGGCTGTCCTGGGGTGTGTGTGTATGTGTCTGTGTGTGTGTGTGTGAGGCAATCAGTGGGTGGTTAATAAACATGCTAACCAATTCTTAGTGCATCAACTCCCTGCATTCCTCTAAGCTCAGCTCCCAGTGTAGAGGGGACTGACTTCTGTGAAGGGAAGAGGCTCAGCCATAGGAGCAGTTGCAGCTGGACCTCTGAGAGAAGGCTTCACTAAATGGGGACAGTTTGGGGTGGGTCCCGAAGGCTGGGTAGGGTGTTCACTGAATGGGCTCTCCTCTCAGCTCCCAGTGAACTGGCCTCGCCTTTAGGGGATGCCAGTTATCATTTGAGCATGTACCTTTGTAGATGGCTTCATTAAGGTATGATCTAGATGTCATAGAATTCACCTGATTTAAGGTCACAGTTCAGTAATTTTTAGCCCGTCCACAGAGTTGGGCAAACATCCCAACAATCCACTTTTGGAGCGTTTTCACTACTTGAAACAGCTCCCTGCTGGTCAGCATGTGCATCTCGCAGCCCTGGACCCAGGCGACACGCGGTTCCTTGTTGCTGTGAAGACAGTTCTGCCTACGGGTCTGCAACCGTCTCTGTTGGTCTGCTTATTGGTGGGGGACAGTTGGGTTGTTCGCAGTTCGGGGCTCTTGTGAGGCTGTTCGTCCCTGCGGTGTAGGGGAGCATTTGCACCGTGTAGGTGCCAGCCTGTGGCTTTGCTGCCATGCCCAGCTTTGCTGAGGAGAAACTAGGAGAGGGGGAGGAGGTAGGGGCAGGAATCCGTCTTCTCTCCGCTTTCCTTTGGCTTCCCTGTCTTTTGCCTGGGTGCTTACTCTTCCCTCCACATCTCCATGCTACTCAGGAAGTCCCAACCAAAGGACTGAGTCCAGAAGGCGCCGCTCGCTGTGCTTTGAGCATCTGCCCAAACCAGATGGTCGGTTTTGCTGGGGCCACAGGCGGGGCGGGAGTCTTGTTCCTCCAAACTCCGAGTGGGTGGTAGTCAAGGGGGGCAGGAGGAGTCCAGGAAGAAGGGTTGTTTTTTTGAATAAAGGTGTGTGCTTGCTTAGAGCACAGGTGGTCAACAGTTGTCGTGGTGATGGGAGGTTGGGTATGGTGGGATTTCCTGAATCTGCAATCACAGGGGCCAAGGAGGATGCCCAGCGTCCATCTGCAGGTGGTGGCTGCTGTTATTACAGTCAGGCAGTCCTATTCTTTTCACACACCTTTCACTCTTGTGGTCCTGGGACCAGGTGCTTGCCCCACAATGTCAGTCTTGAGGACACTGCATTTCCAGGAAGAACGGTTCAGTAGCATACCTGCACGCTTACATCTTTCTCCCTACCTCGGTTTCCAAGTTGACTTGGAGGTATGTTGGCCTCTGCTCATTTGCTCATCGAAGCCTTTATTCATGGCCCTGAACTGTGGGGGTTCCGGAGTCCAGGCAGGTATGTTTGTGATGTCACCAGGTCATCCCCCACGGAACGCTGGGACGAAGACTTCCTGGCCTGTCTTTGGAGACTGGGGCGAGCTCGGCAGAAAGCATGGTCTCTCCCAGGAGGCCTGTCACTCAGCTTGACACGTGCGCAGATGAAGCCCTCAGTGATACATTCACTTTGCTGCCTCATAGAAGCGTTTGCAAATGAAAGGCTCGCTGCTGGAGAGCACGGGGTCCCTCATGGGGTCCCTTCCAAGGAAATGGAGGTGACAACAGCCCACCCAAGCTGTTGACCTTTTCAGAGAGGAGACAACAGAGTTGCAGGATGTTGGCAGCCTCCCTCTGGTGGCCCTACTTCCTTGGAGCTTTGTGGGGTAGAACTGAGCCTAGAAGCAGTCGGTTAACGGTTCTGTGCCATGGTTCTTGGACTGTGGGTCCCAAGGGCTCTGGTGCCCTTCCATGATGAGGCTATCATGTCTGCTTTCTCCCCCCCCCCTTTTAAAAAGACTATTTATTTATTTATTCCTGAGAGACACACAGAGAGAGGCAGAGACACAGGCAGAGGGAGAAGCAGGCTCCCTGCGGGGAGCTGATGCAGGACTCGATCCCAGGACCCCGGGATCATGATCTGAGCTGAAGGCAGATGCTCAACCACTGAGCCACCCAGGCATCCCTTGTGGTACTTTCCTGTTCTGTTTAACAAACATATGCAGACAACAAGGAGGGCAGTTGGTTCTGATTCCTGCCTTAAAGGAGCGTGCAGCCAGACAGGGGCTCAGATGTTTGGCTCCTGGGGGTCCCCTGTTGCTCTGGCACCTCTTCCATCTGATGTCGTGCACCTTGACCTCACTGCTTCAGAGCAGCGCAGCTAAGACCCGATACCCAGAGCCGGAGGTGGATGGATGGAGTTGGGTAGGCCCAGGCAGACGGGAGACGGTCCCCTCTGCTGCTCTGGGGGGGCCACAGTGCCTGGGGTTGGCAGAACAGGAACTGCGATTTGGTGTGCTTGGAATCAACTGCCAGATAGAGGTGGAAGCGCTTCACGTGACCGAGCAGCCCATGCACCAGGCACGGCTCTAACTGCCCCATGAGGTTTTCCACCAGCCTTTGAGGTGGGTGCTGGCTTCGGAAGTGGAGAGAGGTCAGGTGACTTGAGGTCATGGGCTTCCCAGTGGATCTGGGATGTGAACCCGGGTCAGGCCGAGCCCACGTGTCCTGTGGCATTAGCTCTGGGAATCACATGTGATGGGGTGCCCAGGAGCCGGTAAGCCGCCTGGCTGGGAGCAGAGCAGGCTGGTCAGAGGAGGGGTGCCGGAGTCAGGCCTTGAGGGCTGAGCAGAAAAATGTGACTGCATTGAAATCCTAATGGCAGGCTCCGGCCAGGACAGTGCGTGTGTGGTTAAAAGGATCAGCCCTCGCAGTGTTGTCCACCCCCATCTCCCCTGATTCCATTGGCTCAGGTCCGGAGCAGGCCCTCCCCATGCTTGCCTGGACTCTCTGGTGACCTCTTTATGGCTCTGGGTCTTACGTCACTTCTTCCAATCTCCCCATCATTCAGTCGCCCCACAGATGCCCTTGCTAATCCCTTTAGGAGGGCCCCCTGACCCAGCTCTGGGTGGAGGGCGGCAACTGGGTCCATCCCAGGATAATAGCATCATTGACCATGGACGTCGCCATGTGAAAAATGCTGGGCTGCACCGGCTCACGGGATCAAGTCCAAGCCCCTTAGCCCGGCATGTGAGATCCTCTGTGGTCTGGGTTGAGATGCCAGCCAGCCTTCTCTCTGACACCTACCTACTTGCTCCCAGCCCCCAGCACCCTCCCCTCCTGGCTCTCATCCCCATACCTATAGACCACCTGAGGATACAGCAGAGGGATCACAGATGGCCCGGGGTTACCCACCATCAAGGAAAAACCATTCCTGCTTCCACCTCCCCCAGCTCCCAGAGGGCACAGCCTGTGTGCTGGAGGTTTCTGAATGAAGTCAAAGAAAATCGAATGCAGAGCCTTCTGCCCTGTAGGAACTTGCTGTCCATGAGGGCCACAGCCCGGGTCTGTATACTTGGTTCTAAAGGATAAATCCTTATGTAGAGCAT